AGGCATTTAGGGGAGTATTTTGTGGGTGGGAAGTGATGCTCAACTCTTCTGAAAGCTGAGATCAGTGATCATGTACCAGCTGGGGGGAAGAAGGCCCCACTCAGTGTCTTTCAAATCTCTGCTTAATGTTAGAATCACATCAAAAATCCCAATGTCGGCTCGGCACCTGTAGTTCAGTGGCTAGAGTGCTCACTATATACCCCGGGGCTGTTGGGTACAAACCCAGCCTGGGTCTGCCAAACAATGACAGCTACAACAAACAAATAGCCAGGTGTTGTGGCAGGCGCCTGTAGCTACTTGGGAGGCTGAGGCAGGAGAATCGCTTAAGCTCAAGAGTTTGAGGTTGCTATAAGCTGTGACACCATAGCACTCTACCGAGGGTTACATAGTGATTCTCTGTCTCAAAAAAAATAGACATACAGATTCATAGAATAGAATTAAGAGTCTATAACCAAACTGTGACATTTTTGTTAATTGATTTTGGACAAGAGTGCCAGCACAGTTCAATGAGAGAAAGAAAGTGATGCTGGATGTCCTCATGACCTCTTCTTCACACCAGACATAAAAATTAACTCCAAATGTATCACAGAATTAAATATAGAAGTTAACTCTGTGAAATTCTTCTTAGAAGGATATGTAGGAGTAAATTTCTGTGACCTAGAGTTAGTAGTTTCTTGGATAAATTGGGCTTCATTGAAATTAAAAACTTTTGTGACTGGCTCAGCGCCTGTAGTATAGTGGTTACAGCACCAGCCACATGCACCGAGGTTAGCAGGTTCAATTCCAGCCCCGGCCAGCTAAGGAACAATGACAGCCCAAACAAACAAACAAACAAAAAAATAGCCAGAGGGTGGCGCCTGTGGCTCAGCAGGTAGGGTGCTGGCCCCATATACTGAAGGTGGTGGGTTTGAACCTGGCGCCCGTCAAACTGCAGCAACAACAAAAGGGTGTTGTGGCAGGTGCCTGTAGCCCCAGCTACTTGGGGACACTGAGGCAGGAGAATCACCTAAGCCCAGGAGTTGGAGGCTGCTGTGAGCTGTGATGCCACAGCACTCTACCGAAGGCAATAAAGTGAGACTCTG